CCTTGGGTGCTCCTTAGGACATCCCTGAGAAAGGGCCCTATCCAGCACCTGGAGCCACCCCAGAGATGGATGCAATGGTGGCCCCAGCCACTGTCACTTGCTCCATGGCCCCCCACAAGACCCCAGAGCCCTCCCAGCACCACTCCCACCAGCCCCAGGGTGGGCATGGGGACTGGCTGCCCCTTGGCTCCCCGCTCCTGCACCCCCAGGCTGGGATTGGGGTGCTGCTGGCTCCAGCTTTCAGGGTGCCAGCTACGTCATCCTCGGCTCAGCATCTGCAGGCCAGTTCCCACCTCAGCTTTACTTTATTGCTGCGTCAGAAACCCACAATAAAGCCCCTGGCCAAAGGCCAGAGTGATAACACACCCTGGAGGTGCTCAGCTGGCAAGAAGGGGCTGCAGGGACCCCCCCCTTTCCTGGCAGAGCCACCCAGCACCCACCATGGGTGTATGCCAGGCTGGCTCAGCATCACCCCAGCATCGCCCCCAGCACCATCCCTGGTGCTGCAGGGGATGCTAAGGGTGCCGTGGGGCTGCTGGCACAGCACATCCACCTCTCCCCTCCCTGGGAACAGGTTGTGCTGCCAGCAGCCGGCCAGATAAGGTGCATTTCACCTTTCCCAACAGGGCAGGAGAAAACTGCAATAAAGATAAGGTTAAAAATAAAAGTGCTTGCAGCTACGGCCTCACCGTGCCGCAGCCAGCACCCTGCCCACCGCTGGGACATGGTTACCTGCACTGCTCCCACCCCAACCGGCAAGAAAAGCTTCCCGACCAAATACAAAGCTCCCCATCACCTCCTGAGCCTCAAAACACTGGGAAACATCCCAAAAACCTGAGAGCGCCAGGCTTGCTGGTTTGTTTCCGGCAAGCCTGGCAAGGAGGGAGCAAACACGGCCACGTGCCATCCAAGCCAGGTAGGGCGTGTTTTGCCTTAGAGGAGCGAGGCAGTCAGAGGATTTGTTTCGGAAGTTTTAATTTATTCACACACACACACAAAAAAAACCCCACAAAACCAAAACCCTCCTGGGAGGCTGGTGGGAGGCCCAGGGCCAGAAGGGCAAGGATGCTCTGGTGTTATTTAAGGTCTCTGGAGCTGCTCAGCTTCCCAGCCACCATGGTCAGGCATGGCCAAGAGTGCAGAGAGGGAGAATTAAACTCCCTGGGACAACACGCAGCCCCAAAGCACGGCAGCTTGCCCAGGGCCATGCTCACTCCCCGTGGCTACCAGCGCACAAGCTGCTGGCCCCCCCCCAGCTCCCAGCCTGCCAGTCAGTTTTGCATCCCTGCCGGCAGGAGCAAGCGTGGTGGGACCCAGCACAGAAGTGCAGCACATGGAGTGCAGCAGAGGAGGGCAGGTGGCTCGAAGCCCCCATCACACCACCACCACCCCCACCCTGGGCCAGCAGCCAGAAGCTTTTGCTGCAGCAGGAGCAGAGCCCAAGCCTGGGTTGCAAAATCCGGCAGAGCTCCGCAGGCTCAGCAAACAGGGGCAAACACTCACCCCAGGGGCCAGCTGGCCTTCTGCTGGAGCAGCCAGTCGGCAGCAATTCCCCAGGGACTTTGCAGATGCTCCAGCCACTGCAGTGGCCCCCACAAGAGCAGAGATGCAGGCCTCTGCTAGGATTTTGGCACAAAGAGCCCTGGCTTTACCTGTCTCAACCAAGCAAAAAAAGTGTTGGCCTCCAGCATGGCTGTTGGGTTGCCCTCCTGCCCACTCAGGGAGGGCGAAGAGGACCAACCCTGCAGTGTGGCTTATTGCCCAGAGATGTCCCTCACCAGCAAAACCAGAGACACCAGCAGGGCTGAGCCGTGCTGGCATGAGATGAAGCAGCCCAGCAGCTCCCGGCCAGCCTGCCGGCAGCCTCTGCTGCCCAACTGCAGCAGGGGGGTGAGCACCACTCACACTTCCTCGCTGCCAGGCCAGGCTGTGGCACGGGCTCATGTGCCACTGTCTGAAGCCGCAGTCCTGGTTTGGTGCAGGCACAGTTATTTCGGGTGAGCCAGGCGTGGCACGATGCTGGTTTTTTGCTGTCTCAGGTATTCACCCTGCTCCTGCAGACAGCACCAAGGCCCCTGCACACAGACGTGCTCCAAATCAACGCCACAGTTTGCCAAGTGGAGCCAAGAAGGGTGATGACATGGCTACAGCCTGGGAGCTGCCAACCCACAACTGCGCAACCCCCGCACCCACCGCCAGCACAGTATGTGATATGGGGCTGGTGGCACAGGTCCGCAGCACCCACCCCGATGTGACGCAGGAGTGGCTTCCCCACCTGAGCTCTGAGCTGTGCATCCTCATCCACGAGCCATGCATCCTCACCCTCATACCTGAGCCATGGGGCTGCAAGCTATGCATGCTCATCCATGAGCCACGAGCTGTGCATCCTCACCCTCATCCCTGAGCCATGCCTCCTCAACCCTGAGCCACAGACAATGGGAGAGGACCAGCACGGACCTGCAAAACCTCAGGGGTCAGAAGCACAGCTTCACTGAAGAAGCCCCATGGAGCTGTGAAGCTGCCCATAGCCCGGTGGGAGCTGCTCTCTCCATGGCCACCCCAGCCTGGGACCCTGGCATGGAAGCTGGAGAGGGGTTGCCCCAGGCCTGAGCATCCCTCTGAAGGACCGGCTCCCCCAGGGTTAGCCCCAGCAGCATGGGCAGCTAGCAGCCCCGGGGTACCTAGCAAGAATGGGCTGTGGGACATCCTTTGGGGACACTCCATCTCTCCCCAAGCCTGTCAGCTGTGTCAGACACCTGGAGCAGCACCATCCCCTTCCCAGCTTTGCAGGCCATTGCCTGGGTACCCCATATACCCCCCACAGTCTGCCTTGCCAATGCTCCCCAAATCCCAGGATATCAATCCCACCTCCTGCACAGAGCTTTTGGGCTGCATGTCCCACCATTCTGCCCAAGACATCTCACCAAGAAGGGGCTGTCACTGCCATCACCAGGCTCCTGGCATGGGGCTCAAGGACACTATCAGCCAGAGTGGAGCCAGGGCACCAAGGCCGAGCGGATTAACATGCTGAGCTGCTTGTTTCCACAGGCTCAAGCTCAAATCCTGCCTGGGATGCCAAGCTAAACAAGGCTGACATTTTGCTCAGAGGTGTTGCCTTCTGGCCCCGGCAGGATTCACCACCACCGTCTTGGATCCAGCTCCTCCAGGCACAGGACAGGGTCGAGCCTGGCCGCACTGTGGGGAGGCCCAGCTGGGTGCCTGAGCAAGCGCAGCAGGGACTGATCCTAGCTCAGCTGCTTGGGGACAGTCATCCCAGCTCCATCCTGGGACCACCATGGGGACCCTGTCGGTGAGGAAGCCCAGGGCGAGATGGCACCAAGCGGTGCAGCCGGGGCAGAATGCAGTGGGGACAGTGGCCACTGGAGGGGATGGGACACCCCAAAAAGGATTCGGGGAGGAGGGGCTCCCCCATGTGGGGTAGGATGAAGCACCCAGCAAAAGCCCTCATGGGCAGGGCCCTGTGGCCAACACCTCCCGGATGCTGCACACGTGTGGAACAAGGAGCGATAAAGGGGTGATGTCAGCCCTGGGCAAGAGGGAACAAATTCTTGGCGCACTGGGGAGGGAGGGGACAGTAGGAGCACCTGTGCCAATGGCAGCTGAGCCACCCCAGCCACCTGCTGGCTCCCTGCTCCCCAGACAGCCATTGCCCACCGCCTGCCCACACCCAAGGGCCTGCCCAGGGAGCAGCGCCAGGCAGGGGCACAGGCACGGGCACCCCCACTCCACACCATTGCAGCCAGCAGCATCACCATCAACAGGAAACCGCACCCCAGCCGGCAGCTCGTGCAGCAGTGTGCTGTGCTGGCAGTGGGGTATCCCTGCTCCCCACCAAGCCCCCCAGGAGCAGCCCCTGTGCTCCAGCACTGGTGGATGGGGCCAGGGTGGCAGAAGGTAGCAGGAGCCCCAGTGATGCTGCTGCTGGTCCTCGGCACCCTGTTTCAGGAAGCCACAAGCCTAATTAAATGAAATTAAACCCAGGGTGATATCTTCAGGGATGACCCAAATCCCATCCCCAAATCCCTGGCAAGGGGACAACGCATGAGCAACCCCCCCA